TTTCCCTCTAGGCGCGAACGAGGGATTCCCGGAGACTGGGATGAGGAGTCCGCTGCCGGCCTTGACCATTCCAATTGGTGGTGACTTGGACTGAGAGGTGCGTTTGGACCAGGTGCTGCACCACTGCAGCAGCCGGGAGCGCTGAAACTGGGGTGACCGCAGGGGTGCTCGCTTAACAGGAGGATTGAGCCGGGAGCGCGACCCTCGGCCGGGAACTCAGCAGAAGGGCGGTAGGCTGAGCCTGCGCGGGAGCCACTTCGGTGGCCAGTCTCTGAAGGCTAGACTGAGTCCATTGACCCTGATGACGGCGTCAGCGCAGCGCGACTTGGTGCAGGTGAGTGAGGGCTTCAGTGCTGCTGCGGGGTTCCAATCTCCTGGTCCTGGGGCCAGCGCAGAAAAGATGGCGCTGTTCTTAGCTCTGTCGCCTTTCCCATCTCCCTGTCCTAACTTGGAGGCTAGGCAGGAGTCATTCCTGTTGTGGATCATGCTTGTGGGCTGGACAATTAGCAGAGGGGTTTCCCACCCTGAGCTCTGAGGGGTGAGGGGAGAAAGGGTTTCCTTAGAACGTGAGTGCAGATGCTTGAGGCTGAGACCCGGTTGGAAGTGTCCAAGAAACTCGGTGGCTGTTGTATCCGCTGAGACCAGATAGCGCCCCCAGAATGGCGGGCTGAGGCACGGGGCTGCTATTGTGAGGACGGTGGATGCTGTGGGCGGGGCCGTTTAAAGCACAGGAGGGAGGTGATAGCACTCAGGTCTTACAGCATCTCTGAGGATGCAGAGTGGAAGCCAAGTGTAGGGTGAGGGTGAAGGCAGGGGTGCCAAGGAACACCCCCTGCCGCCGTCGGAGTCAGTGGTCCTGGTGCCCAGACCAGGTAGAAGGTGTGTGTTCTGTGTCTGTCAGAAACATCAGGCCGACTAGGTCGTCTGATGTGGAGGGTAAAAAACAGCCTTTCCCGTGGTTTGCTTGCTTAGGTAGATGTACGAACAAGTCATGAGGAGAGAGGGAGGAAGAGAGGGAGGGAGGGAGGAGAAAGACAGAGACACACAGGGAGAACTGCAGCAGCAGAAATTTTCACTGGAAATAGCAAGAGTTAAGTCTGGGACATGTGGAGTCTCAGATGCCTCAGAGACCATGAGTAGATTTGAAGAGTGGTTTAACATAGTTACTTTGTTCAAGAGAGTTTTAATTGAGGTATGAGAGACAAATCAGACGATATCTAAAAATAGAGCTCTGACCCAGGACCTGCCCAGGAAACCAACCTCTCCTCTATAATCTCACCACAGGAAGCCTGTTTACTGAGTCAGATTGTCAGGAAAGCAGATTGCTATCTCTGGTGACAGGCCTGGAAGTTAAACAAAATCTTCTTTCACAGTTGTCCTCTGTTTTTGGACTGGTTTGATTAATAACTGGTAGTTTCTGAATATCTTGTTCTTATCTCCAGTTTAGGACCAACTGCAGAAAGCCCAAAATGCTCACTACCAATTTCATGCGAGTCCTGCCTCTGGTTAGAGGTCCTTACAGACAGCTTTCCAAGACAACGGCCCCAGTGAGGGCACACCTGGGCCCCTCCCTTCTCTCTTTAACAGTACTCTGCCCTTGCTATGCCTGTCTATATGTTTCTAAGAAGCTCCCAGTAATTGTGGCCAAATCCTAGCTACAGTAAGCAGCGTATAAGCAGCCTTAGCTCTTCTTGTTGGTCTCTATTTCTACAGAACATCCAAATCATGGCATCAGTGTGTGAGCCATAGTGTATGTCATATTTAAGGCTGTGAATGTTCAGGCCATGATGCCAGTGTTCTAAGAAGAAAGAATATGGGTCCGCGCAGCTCTGGTCCTACCGCCACAGCAACCATCAAAGAAGTGTAGCCATGGCCCTCCGCTATCCCATGGTCATAGGCCTCAACAAGGGCCACAAGGTGACTAAGAATGTGAGCAAATCAAGGTACAGCTGCTGTCGCAGACATCTCACAAAACACACCAAGTTCATGCAGGAAATGATCTGGGAGGTGTGTGGCTTCGCCCCCTACGAGCAGCACGCCATGGAGCTGCTCAAGGTCTCCAAGGACAAGCGTGTCCTCAAGTTCATCAAGAAAGGGGGGGGGTGGTGAGATGGCTCAGTGGTCTGGGGCACCTACTTGGAACAAGCTTGGCAGAGCACAGGGGCCACGGTTCTGTCCCCCAGCACCACATGCCAGCCGACCCTGCCCCCTGGTGGGCTGAGCTGGCCACACACACACACACACACACACACACACACACACACACAAATAAATTAAAAAAAAAAGAAAAAGAAAAGGGTGGGGATGCACATCCTTACCATGAGCAACATGCTGGCCACCATAAGGAAGGCAGCTGCCAAGAAGGACTGAGCCCCCCTGGAATAAAGCTTTGCAGAAAGAAAAAAAAAAAAAGAAGGAGGAGGAGGAGGAGGAGAAGAACAAAGAATGTGAGGAGGAGGAGGAAGAAGAAGAGGAGGAGGAGGAGGAGGAGGAGAAAGAATGTGAGGAGGAGGAGGAGGAGAAGGAGCAGGAGGAGAAGAAGAAAGAATGTGGACCTGGAGGGCTCAGAGCATCAACCATGTTTAGCTTGTTTAGCATCATGAAAACAAATAACAGAGAGTGCCATGAGTTGGGGTACATCGGGGAATAACGAAATATGGCATGTGGCCAGATCCAGTGAGGGGATGGGAGCTGAGGCCTTGCAGTCATGGAGCTGATGTCATGTGGCTCAGAATAGTGCTTATTCACCAATCTGTGTTCTTCCCGCCTTTTGTCAGGTCTCTTCATAGAGCCTGAGAATTTTTCAGTCCAGCTCTGCAATTAGGGAGAAATGAGATTACTCAGATTTTCTGGGACACAGAGAGGTATACGGTAGAAGAAAGAAAGAAGGGGCCGAGATCCTGATATTTCTTTCAGGAGCAAGCCCACCATGACCTTCCTTCAATTAGGCACTGTCTCCTAAAGGTTCTACCACCTCCTCCCCAACAACCACAGCCTGCTGTCCAGGCTTTGAGACATGGATTTTGGGGAACATTCAAGAAAAAACTAAAAACAAAACAAAAACCTATCTCATTGGGGTAGGAGGATCAGAAGGGTTGGCTTTTGAATAAATGTAAGTGAAGAGAGGAGAGCATGCACACAGAAGATTGCCGAGGAATCTGGGATCTGTGGGCTCCTGGTGTCATTCAAAGCCAGTTTAGTGGGTTATTAACTGGTGGTCAACTGGTTATACCCAGATGAATTGAGCTAGTGTGGTGCAGGGTGTGGGAGGCCCACCTAAAGATTGTTGGCCAGCAGCATAAGGGGCAGAACTGGAGAATCTGTTGAGAGAAAGTTAGGGAAGCTGTTTGGAAAGGCTGTTGGGGCTGTCGGACGCTCTTGGTTCTCTTGGGCTATTCTGCTGGACGACCTTGTCATGTTGGCTTTCCTGATGAAGTTGGCTGATCGATTTTTTTTTTTTTTTTTTTTTTTGCTCCGAATGCCTTGAGGGCAGGTTTGGCTGGCTTGAGTTGTGGGCATCCAACCACAGCAACCTGAGCCTGACTGCTTTGTTGAAGCAGCCACTTAAAAACTGAGCTAAGGGGCAGGCCCCCAAGTTGCCTGTGCTTGTCAAAGGAGAAACTCGGGACCTCCTTTTTACTGAGAATGGTTATGGTTCACTTTGAGGGAGCTCTGGTCCTCATCTTGAGTATTGCTTCCTGGCCCTAGAGGCGAAGAGGGTGCACAGCTCAGCCTCCTAGAGAAGCTTGTGACATTGGCTTTCTCTCTCTCTTTTTTTTAAATATGGAGTGCTTCACAAATTTGCATGTCATCCTTGTGCAGGGGCCATGCTAATCTGCTCTGTATCGTTCCAATTTTAGTATATGTGCTGCCAAAGCGAGCACGACATTGGCTTTCTCAATGGAAACTCAGATCTCCTCAGTGCCAGAGCAGCTCTGGACCTTACTGTTGCTGAGGATGGCTGTGGTATTTTTGAGGGGAGCTCTGGCTTTTATCTTGAGCATTGCTTCTTGGATCCAATGCAGATCCCTCAGCCTGCTAGCAAAGATCCTTCATCCTATTGGCATAGACTTCTTAGCTTCCACCACTGACCTTTGGGCCTTTCCAGCACAGATCTGTGAAGTGGGCCTGCATGAGACTTTGTCGTGAGATCTAGGCCTCCATTGGGACTTGTGGGAGGCTCTAGGACTTCAGTTGGACTCATTCAGGACATTATTGTGGGATCCATGCCCTCAGCTGGATTATTTGATCTTTGGTGTGTGGACAGATTTCCTGCATTCTTTTATATGTGATTCTTTGGGTGATTATAAAATGATCTTATAAAATATGTCCTATATTGTACAGTTTTCCTTGCAAACCGCCCCCCCCCAAACCACAGCAGAAGCCAAGAAGAGGGCCTAGTAGGTAGAACTGCAAAGTAGAATAAATATTAAGCGTGTTAGTGAGCACCATCAAAAGCCCAGGGCAGAATGGTATCGTGATTGTATTGGCCAGACTCTGTCCAGCCAGGTTGTGTACAAAGTGACACACAGGAGTTCAAAGAAGTAGTTGAAAGGTAGGCAAGGATGGGAAGAGGGTAGCTGTGACCATGGAGGCATAGAGCAGGGTCCAGAGCTGTAAGGGTGATGCAGGACAAAGAGTAGGGTGCAAACAGGAATGGGCCTGGACAGGAAACTGAGGGTGAAGACAACTTGGATTGCATTGGATTGTATCTGAGAAGCATAACATTGCAAATTTAGGAGAATGAGCCAATGGTAAGGGCTTAGGATGTACACATCAGGCTTGGACCTTAGATACTGGCTCTCTGCTCTCCTGCCTTTGTCGCTGTAGGCTGACAGTGTGAATAGGTGAGATAGGAGAAAAATAGCCAGTACTAGTGGAACTAGGACCTGGTGTCTCCTTGGAGCTGGGAAGAGGTGAGAGAGAGATGAATAGGAAATGAAGAGGAAAGACTGAGGAGAGAAGCTAATCATGGAATATAATGTTCTTCCTCAAAGCAGGGCTGTGTGACCTTTGAGGATGTGACCATTTACTTCTCCCAGGAGGAGTGGGGGCTGCTGGATGAGGCACAGAGACTCCTGTACTACACCGTGATGCTGGAGAACTTTGCACTCATAGCCTCTCTGGGTAAGGACATGCTTTCCCAGGTGTGCTGGTGACCTCTTTACTGGTCCCTTTTGTACAAGGACAACTCTCTTTCCAATGCCAACAGCATGAACACTGCCTGTCCCCTGTGTTCCTGTTGTGTGTGTTATGGGGGGTTTCAAAACCGTATAGCCTGTAATGCCTCCCCTTCCAGAGTGGCCCCACACTTCCCACCCAAAGCAATGCAGGGAAGGGTCCATGCAGAAAGAGCCTTGTGGTCAGCCCCACAGAGCCCAACCTACCTGTCACTCTTCACCTGGTGACCATGTAAACCTCTGGGCCCTTTAGGTTCTGCTCCTTCTTTTGCTTACGTGGGCTGTAGAAGCCTGTGCAGAAATACCATGCACTCATTTGATCATTCCTGAAAATCACCGGCATATGTCTACCAGCAAGCTTGGATGTATAATTTCAAATACTGAGTTTTCTTTCCTGTTGTCTGTTCTGGGTTACTTGCCCTGCCCACCTTTCCTTTAGGGCTCACATCTTTCAGGTGCCATGACATTGGTGAATGTGAGATGAGGAGAGAACCTAACAGAGTGGATATGACGTCAGCCATGGCAAGAGGGGCTTTTGGCAAGGCTGACTGGGGTAAGTGGGCGCTGGGAAAGGTGTGACATCATCACAGTGTCCAAATCATGCCACCTATTTTGTTATCTCTGCCACATGTCTATTGAGACCTGGCCTACATGGACTCTGATCTGCTGTGGGCTGTTGGTTCCACCTTTCTGACTGTCATGTCAGTCCTCCTACTGTGGGCTCTGCAGCACTCTTCACTGTTGGACTACACTTCATGTGTCCATAATAGCATGTTTCCTTAATGTCCCTGACATTACTGTTAGTTGCAGTCAGATTATCCTGGGTCTGGCCATTCTTGCCTGCTTTGTGGTCCTTACAGTTCCTTAGAAGCCAGTGCCATGCTCCAAGGCCTTTGTAGAGAAGTGATCTGGGTACCCTGCCTCTCTTCCCGTATATTCCTTCCTGCAGTAGAGACCTCCCCTGTTTTGTGGCCTGGAAAATCACAGTAATGCAGAGAGCCAACCACTCCTTATCCTGAGCTGAGGTTTCTCTTCCTGCTCAGGGTCCCAAGGACTCATTCTGACATCCATCAGAGACTTGTGATGGGACTGTTTTCTTCTATCAAAGTTTATATGATTTGACCAGGATTTCTCCGTTTACAGGTTTTTGCTGTAGAACAGAGGGTAAAGAGTTACCTTTTGAGCGAAGAATTTCTGTACAAGGACTATTAGAGAATGGAAATCCCAAGACAGCCCTGTCTGTGCAGAAAGCCTACTCCTCTGACACATGTGGCCTACTCTTGAAGGAGATTTTGAACCTAGATGAAGAGGAGGGTACACATGCCAGGCTGAAACCCCATATGTGTAAAGCCAGTGGGAAAAGGGTCAAGTTCAATGCAAACTTTGCCCAGCAACAGGTACAGCAGCATGAGGAGGAGCCTGCCAGATGGGAGGAAGTTAGGGAGTCTCCTGGAAACACTTGCATAGACCAGGCATCCCGGAAGCTTTTCACGTGTGGGGAGGGGAAGGAGGTCTATGTGGCCACAGCAGACTTTGTGCAGTGTTGGATCACTCCCGATGGGGAGGAGGCACACAAGAGTTCTGGAGAAACACTGTACTTTCCCACAGCCCAGTGGCTTGACAAAAGCAGTCAATCTAGTTACGTTTTCAGTGACACATTCACACATGTTCACCACCCGAGAGTCCAGAGAAGAGAGAGGCCCTATGAATGCAACAAGTGTGGCATGTTCTTTAGCGATCCCTCCAGCCTTATGCAACACCAGAGAGTTCACAATGGAGGAAAATCCTATGAGTGCCTTGAGTGTAGGAGAGTCTTTACCCTGCGCTCTAGTCTTGTGAAACATCAGAGAGTTCACACTGGTGAAAGCCCCCATGTGTGCGGTTACTGTGGGAAGTTGTTCAGCCAAAACTCCAACCTCATCCAGCACAAAAGGGTTCACACTGGTGAAAAGCCATACGAATGCAGTGAATGTGGGAAATTCTTTAGCCAACGTTCCAACCTCATTCATCATAAGAGGATTCACACTGGTAAAAGTGCTCATGAGTGCAAGGTATGTGGGAAATCCTTTAACTGCAACTCTAGTCTAATTAAGCATGGGAGAGTTCACACTGGAGAAAGACCTTATAAGTGCAATGAATGTGGGAAATTCTTTAGCCACCTTGCCAGTCTCATTCAACACTATATAGTTCACACAGGGGAACGACCTTTTGGGTGCAGTGCATGTGGGAAAGCCTTCAGCCGAAGCTCTGACCTCATAAAACATCAGAGAGTTCACACTGGTGAACGGCCTTATGCATGCATTGAATGTGGGAGGTTGTTTAGCCAAAGTTCCAGCCTTAATAGTCACCGGAGACTTCATACTGGTGAACGGCCTTATCAGTGCAGTGAATGTGGGAAATTCTTCAATCAAAGCTCCAGCCTCAGTAACCATCGAAGACTTCACACTGGTGAACGGCCTTATCAGTGCAGTGAATGTGGGAAAACCTTCAGACAAAGGTCTAATCTGAGGCAGCATCAGAAAGTTCATAAACCCGACAGGCCTTATGAGTGCAATGAATGTGGCAAAGCCTTCAGCCAAAAGACCGGCCTTATTCGACATCAGAAAATACACACCAGAGAAAGCAACATAGAGAATGTGCATCCTTCTTTCTCAGCACAGCTGCACACAGCAGAGAGTGCGACGGTAGTCTTTATGAAGGAGCGTCAGCCCGCTGCTGAGCCTCATTTATCCATGCAGCCACCCTGGGGAGATTCCCTATTATAGCTACACACAGTGGATACTTTCTGAGCTAAGCTGTATTATCCAGTTTGTCACTGCTAGAGTTTGAGATAGAAGCCATCTTAGCTTTGCATACTCTACAGCTTCTAGAGTATATTACCCACTCTCCCATCTCAAGGAAAACAAATGTTTTTGGTTTTGTTTTGATTCCTCTGTTCTCTTTCCAGTTTCTGAAGGGAATCCTGAGACTGTATAAGGATGTCACTTCTATATGACTAGTCTAGCTGTGGACATGACCTATTTTGTCCATGTAGAGCTAGGTAGTGGTCTGCTGGCCGCTTACTGTGCGTGTTTCTTTTTCAGGGACATTAATCAGTCTACTGTGATGTTTGTGATGGATTTATCCTTCCTCCTGTCGCCCTGCCCAACTACCCACTACATATTGTTCTTGTTCGTATCCTGTGAAGGGTGTTGGTGACAGACCTTTCTTTAATCATTGGTGTTCTGATTCCTATGAGTAGTAGGTTGAGAACACTACTACTGTTAACTAAAGAGTGAGTAGACTTTGTTGTGCCTCCAAGTAGGATGCCTCAGAAAGGCCAATCAATGGCAGAAACCGCACTCAGCCCACATTTGGCCTTATGTGTATTGGTAGGCTAGGTGGACCCATAAATGTGTTATGTAGAAATACACAGTGTCTGGGGCCGGGGAAATGGCTCAGTAGAATAAGCTCTTGACTGGCAATCGCAAGGATCTGAGTTCAATCCCCGGTTCCGAAAAAAAAAAAAAAAAAAAAAAAAAAAACCACAGTGTCTTTGTAGGGATGTTGATGGAGGGTTGCCAAATCTAGTATCCTAAAATGTATGAATGGTCAGATTTCTTTTAATGCTTTGTTAGGCATATAATTGATGTGTGATAAGTTTCAAAGTATATATACTTGATACTATTTAATAAGTTTTGAAATATGTATGCCCTCAGGGAATTAACACCATAATCATGATAATGAACACAGCCATCAGGATGAAAGCTACCTCATGCCTATTTCTAATTTCTCTTTGCCTTCCAGGCAACACTTAATGACATCCTAGGAGAACTATTTATTTATTTCTTTTATTATAGATTTACTTGCTTTTTCTACAATTTATGCAATTGTAATCCTATAGTATTTTTAACTCTTGTGATCTGGTTTCTTCATATGGCATAATTTTTTTTATAACTGTTGACTTTCTAAATTATTTTAGGGCTGGTGAGATGGCTCAGTGGTCTAAAGCACCTACTTAGAACAAGCTCGGTCAAAGCACAGGGACCGCGGTTCAATCCCCCAGCACCACATGCCAGCCAGCCCTGCCCCCTCGTGGGCTGAGCTGGCCACACACATACACACACACACACACACACACACACACACACACACACAAATTATTTTAGTTATGATAGAATGGTTATGTGTAAAAGCATAATTATCTTGATATATATATAAGTTTATGTGGTTTTAAAATGTTTAAAACATTTCTGGTAATATATAATGTAAAAATTATGTTAACCATTTCCACATGTTCAGTGTAGTGGTATTAAATATGTTCATGTTGTTTGTCACCATCACCACCATTCACTTCCAAATCTCATTTTGCAAAACTGAAAATATATTCCCATTAAACAAAACTTCCACCTTCTTTCTGCACCCTTGTCTCTCAAAGCCACCATTCTATTTTCTGTCTGTTTAAATTAGACTACTCAAGGGGCTGAGGAGATGGCTCAGTAGAATAAGCACTTGCCTGGCAAGCGCAAGGGCCTGAGTTCAATCCCTGGTTCCACCAAAAAAAAAAAAAAGACTACTCAAGTACCTCATATAAGTGGGATCATAAGTATTTGTCTTTGTATGCTAGCTTACTTCACATAATATAAGTCCTCATACCAGTGTTTTTGCATGTGTATTTCCTCTGTTAAAGGCTGAAAAGAATCCCAATTTAATTTCTTTTCTTTCTTTCCTTTTTTTTTTTTTTTTTTTTTTTTTTGGAACCGGGAATTGAGCGCTTATTCTACTGAATCATCTTCCTGGCCCCCAATTTAATTTCTAAGTTAATTCCTAAATATTTTGTTTTAGTTCCTAAATATTTTATTCCTTTTGATATTATACAAATGACATTGTTACCATAATTTCCTTTTAATGTTGTTTACTGGGTGTTTTGTTTTAATGGGTTTTTGTTTTTATTTTTATGTTTGAGACAGGACCTCACTTTGTAGTGTAAGCTGGCCTTGAACTCACTAGGTAGCCCATGCTAGCCTCAAACTCCTGGCCAGCCTGCTGCTCAGCCTCCTGGGTGCTGGAATTACCAGTGTGCACTGTCGTGCCCTGTGAATGTTGTTTGTTGTTGGTACACAGCAACAACTCACATTTTCTGTATTGAATTATCCTGTTACTTTGATGAGTTTATTAATTTATTGCTTGTAACAATCTGTCTCTGACTCCTTCCCCTCCCTCCCCCTCTCCCCTTTAGTGTTTTTGGATTTAGATGCTTCTACATGAAGGAACTATCGCCTCTGAACAGAACCAATCTTCCTTCCCAGTTTGGGTGCTTTTTATTTCTTTTTCTTTTCTAATTGCTCTGGGTCTGGTTAAACCTTTTATTTTTTGGTAAGGGTCTACAGGGTGTTCAGGGTCTCACTACTAGATTGGACTCGTAGTGATCCGCCTATTTACAGCCTCCCAAGAGCTGGGATTACAAGCCACACCCCTTCTCAATTGCTCTCTCAGCACTTTAATCCGCTGAGCTATTTGGCCAGCCCTGGTTAAAACTCTGAACTACATGAAAGTAGAAGAAAGAGACAGCCTTATCTTGATACTGATCAAAAAGCTTTTAAGGTTTCACCACCAAATATAATTTTAGCTGTGAGTTTTTCATAATTGGTTTTTATTATGTTGAGATCATTTCCTCTAGTCCTAGTTCGATTTTATTGAATGCCTTTTCTATACCAAATGAGATGATCATATTGTTTCTTTCCTCATTTGTTCTATATTGATCCACTTTATTGGTTGAACTATTCTTGCATCCCAGGAATGATTCCCTCTTGGATGTGGTTTGATTCATTATTTTCTTCATTATTGCTCATAAGAAATTTGGGCAGATGGTTTCCTTGTAGTGTCCTTGTCTGATGTTTGGTATCAGGGAAGCATTAGCTTCACAGAATGTGGTTAGAAATATTCTCGCTTGTTGGGAGCCGTGGAAGCTGGAAAATTGGTCACGTGTGAAAGTGGGACTAGGCCTCAAGGCCTAAAGCAGTCAAGCTACCTCATTCCTGAGATCAGCATCCTGACTGGTGAATGTCAGCAATTAGTCACTAGGCAACCTGTGTCACATGTTACTAACTTTGCAAAGGCATAAATAAATGTCCATACTGTTGCTGGGGGTAGTCTCGCCAACCAGGTAGGTGGACTACCACCTAACCCAGCTCTTGTCATCTTGTCTACTTTTTCCTTACTCCTGCCGCCATTTCTCCCTGGGTACAATGGATCACACTGAGAAACCAATGGATCCCAACACCCTCTTTCCAGTTTGGTTTTTTTTTTTGGGGGGGGGAGGGAAAATAGTTGGTGTTCTTTAAATATTTGGTAGCATTCACCAGTGAAGATACCAGGATCAGAGATTTTAGTTAAATATGATTTTTTTTTTTTTTTTT